TCAAGGTCCATCCATGTTGTTGCAAATGGCAGTATTTCATTCGTTTTTATAACTGAGTACTATTCCATTGTGTAAATATACCACATTTTCCGTATCCACTCATCCGATGATGCACATTTGGGCTGATTCGAACTCTTGGCTATTGTAAAGAGTGCTGCAATGAACATTGGGGTACAGGTATACTTTTGACTTGATGATTTCCATTCCTNAACATACTAAGGGGCAGTGGCCAGAACATTATGACAATAGAATTCTGACCTACCACCTCTGTGGCAATTGCCCCAGAATGGTCAGGACTTGGTTAATAATTCCTAACTTCCCTATCTTTGGCTCCAGCTTCTAACTCAGGACCAGCCAGAGGAAGCCAAATATGCTCCCCCAAAACCAATCACATAAAATGCTTCTAGTTAGCCACCTTCAGCTTCCCCATGCCAACAACTTCCAACCAGTGCATGCTAGCAGCCTTTGCTTTTTTTCATTATAAAGCATTCTCACTCTCTGTATGGCCTTTGAGTGGACCAAATGTGAGTGATGGATGGTGGCTGACTCTGTTGCTGTAGCAAGCTCTGAATAAGTAGCTTCTGTCTATTCTCATTTGGGTGGTCTTCATTTATTTCCACATAATTATCTATAATCTTTTAATTATGCCTTTTTTGTTGTTTTACAGATGGTAAAGTGGAATCTCTTTTTTTTTTCTTTTTTTTTTTTTTTGGTTAAATTTTTATTGTGTCAATATACAATGTATTAGATTATTATGGCCCATCACCGACACGCACCTCCCTCCTCCCTCTCTCCCCTCCCACCCAAGAATGTCCTTTCCATTTGCTTGTTGTAACAACTTCAAAAAAGTATAGTTGTTATATCTTCTTCCCCCCCCCCACCCCCCGGTTTTTTTGTGAGTGTGTATGTGGGTGAATTAATTTGTTTATTTTTAGCTCCCACCAATGAGTGAGAACATGTGGTATTTCTTATCCTCTGCCTGACTCGTTTCACTCAATATTATTCTCCCAAGGTCCATCCATGTTGTTGCAAATGGCAGTATTTCATTTGTTTTTATAACTGAGTAATATTCCACTGTGTAGATATGCCACATTTTCCATATCCATTCATCCGATGATGGACATTTGGGCTGATTCCAGCTCTTGGCTATTGCAAAGAGTGCTGCAATGAACATTGGGGAACAGGTATACCTTCGACTTGATGATTTCCATTCCTTTGGATATATTCCCAGCATCATATGGCAGATCTATCTGCAACTGTTTGAGGAATCTCCATACCAGTAAAATGGAATCTCAAATAAGTTAGGTAACTTGTCTGAGGCCACACAGCTGGGAAAAGTCAGAACCAGGTTTTAACCCTGGAGAAGCAAGTCGGAGATAAGAGGGGCAGCGTAGGGCACTGTTGAAAGCTGAGCTACGGAGTAAGGAAAAATGGTTAAAATCCTGACTAGGACCCTGATAAACTTTGAATGGGTCACTTAATTCTCTCTGTGCCTTAGTTTTCTCCTATCAGTAATGGAGATAATAATACCTGAAATGGGGTATAGTGTACTGGGTCCAAGTAAAAATTCTGGAATAAGACTCTTAGATTTAAACCCTGATGAAATTACTTACTGCAAAGTGTCCTTCAGAAAATTGCCTAGTTTCACTGGGCCTCAGTATTTTCACCCATAAAATGAGAATAAGTGCAGCCCATTTATTACAGGGTTAATAAAAGAGCTGAATAAGGTAAATTTTTTAAAAAGCACTTATGTGGCATTTACCATGTATCAGACCCTGTGACAAGAGTTTTACAGGCATTAGTTTATTAATTCTCATAACAATGCTATGACTTAGGAACTGTTATTGTCATCTCCAGTTTACAGATGAGAAAATTGAAGGAAAAGGAAGTTAGGTAAGTTGCCTAAGGACCTATAGCCAGGAAGAGACAGAGCTGTGTTAGAAACCCAGTCATCAGTTCATGGTTCTGCCTATTCAATAACAAAACATGCAAAGCATTTACCTCAATGCCTGACACATTGCAAGCTTAAGGTTAGGAACAATGATTAATAACTGGTTAGTCTGACTTCAAAACTGTTTCCAGTACAGACTAATGGCTTCCAGGAGCCAATGTGAGAGGAACCAGAACTCTCACACATTGTGGTTGGGAGTATAAAATGCCACAGCTACTTTGAAAAACAGTTTGGCAGTCTTTTATACAGTTAAACATGCACCTGCCCTATAATCCAGCAATCCTACTCCTGGGCGTGTATATACTATAAAATGATTACTCGTGGAAACAGAGAGAAAGGGAGAGAGAGAATACATGAGGCAGGGGGACAGAGAGAAAGATAGAGATAAAATAGATAGGTCTGATTTAAACAAAATTGTTCAAGAGCTCAGTAGGAAAATTAATAAATTAATGAGGGAAGTTTACATAGAAAGAAGTTTACATGGCTTTTTTAAATTTTAATTTATCAATATACAATGTAGTTGATTTTTGCATCCCTTTACCAGTTCCTCCTTTTCTCCCTTCCCTCTCCCCCTCCCCCATCAATACCATATCTGTTCACTTGTCTTAACAAGTTCAAGGAATTGTGATTGTTGTGTCTTCTTTTTCTCCCTCCCCCATATATTTGTTTGTATATTTTTTTTATTAGATCCACAAATAAGTGAGAGCATGCGGTAATTCTCTTTCTGTGCCTGGTTTAGTTCACTTAATATAATTTTCTCTAAGTCCATCCACATTATTGTGAATGGTAGTATTTCATTCTTTTTTTATAGCAGAGTAGTATTCCATTGTGTAGATATACCACATTTTCCTTATCCACTCATCTTATGAATGACTTTTAAATATATTAAAATATGCTAAAGCCTATCTAGTATTTTCTTAAATTTATTTATTTATTTATTTATTTTTTCCTTTTTGTCTTTTTTTGTGACCGGCAACGGGATCGCAACCCTCGGCATTGCACCCGCACCTCGCTCAGCCAGTGAGCGGCGAATGCAGAAAAGATCCACACTTATCCAGTCTTTTTTGGTTTTTTTTGGGGGGGGGTTTATTTTGTTTTATTTTTAACTGAGGTTTCTAAGCAATTCGATGTGGGAAAGAAACATCTTCTGACTAAATAGCATTGGAACAACTGGATAAGCATATGGAAGAAAAATAAACCTTGACCTCTACCTCACACCACAAACAAAAATTAATTCAGAATGGACCATAGACATAAACTTAAAAGCTAAAATTATGAAGCTTCAAAAGAAAACATAGGAGAATAATTTCACAACTTTGGCAGAGATTTATTAGGACAGAAAAAGCACTAACCAAAAAAGAAAATAAATTTGAATTTATCAATACTTAAAATACGGCTCATCAAGTGACATCATTTTTAAAAAAATAGGCAAACCCAGACTGGAAGAAAACATATATCTGACAAAAGACTAGTATCTATAATATATAAAGAACTCATACAAATCAATAATCAAACACAAAAAACCCAATAAAAATTAGCAAAAGACTTTAACAGACATTTCACAAAAGAAGATATATGAATGGCCAA